GATACTTTTGTCAAACAGCATTTCCAGAAACTCAGTTTATTACCTTTTGGGGATTATATGTTCCGAACACATAACAGCAAATTTGGAACAATAGTAATGATCTCTTGCATGCTCACAATGGTGAAAAAATGGATTGATATGGGATGACTTTGAAGCTTGATTTCCACAGGCAACCTGCTGTTCTCCTCCAATTATAAACAATTCTGCAATTTACAAATAATCTAATAAAAACCACAAGAGGTATATTTTCCAACACATATAAAACCTTTAATGCTGTAACTTAGCAATTAAAATATTTTAAAAAAATAAGAACCTTGCATGGTAGCACATGTCATTAACACAATTGTAAAAGAGCAAGCCAAATCACGCTAAAAGTTTTATCATTGAAAAGGATCTGGCCTTGGCTGGAGTGTTGGCCTGTGACTGAAGGGCCCCGGGTTCAATTCCGATCAAGGGCACATGCCCAGGTTGTGGGGTTGTGGGCTCAATCCCCAGTGAGGCGGGGGGGGGGGGCGGGGGGTACGTGTGGGAGGCAGCTGATCAATGATTCTCTCACATTATTGGTGTTTCCCTCTCCCTCGCTCCCTTTCTCTCTGAAAAAGACCTGTCAAATTCCTGCCCATATGGAACCTGGGCTCGGCCCTTATATATTTTCTGTTCTCCAAAATAGATAAGGAAAAGTGAAGCACAAACACAAGAGAATGCAAATGATTTGAATTTTTACTTGATGGCAGTCTCAGCTTTCTCCATCTGTGGCGTCGCTGCTGTGCAGACCCACTTTGTTTATGGCGGCTCCTTTACTCCCAGCTGTTCACACTGCTCTCTCATACACCTGTGCTCTCTGAAGAGAGGCTTTGAGGACCAACCCAGAGCACAAAGACTGATCACAGCCAACGACAAAGGTCAGCTCAAGGCTCAGGTTTTGGTAGGACCATCATTGTGATTTCCCAACTTAAAAAAAATAGTTACACTCATGACCTTTGATACATACTGCGCTTGCTCCAGGAATTATAAAGATGAGCATAACCTCTGTTTTCACGCATATTAATCATTCTTCAGACATTACCTGAAAAGAGAATAATGGTACTGAGATGCTGCTTCTGCTTCTAATACTGCTATAGAATACTTAACAATGCTTTTCTATCAAAATGGAAGGTGTGCTACATATGCAGTTTTAATTTTCTAGTAGCCCCATTAAAAAGGTAAAAGAGCCCTGGCTGGTGGTGCACTGTAGTTAGAGTTGCAGGTTCAATCCCCTGCCCTGGTCAGGGGCATGCGGGAGGCATCCAATCCATGTGTCTCTCTCACATCAATGTTTCTCTCTCTCTCTCTCTCTCTCTCTCTCTCTCTCTCTCTCTCTCTCTCTCTCTCTCTCTCTTCCTCTTCCTCCTCCTCCTCCTCCTCCTCCTCCTCCTCCTCCTCCTCCCTCCTTTCCTTCCTTCCACTCTCTAAAAATCAATGGGAAAAATATCCTTGGGTGAGGAGTAACAAAAAAATAAAAGGTACAAGAAAAAAGTGAAATTAATTCTAACAATACGTTTTATACAACACTACTCTAAAATATCATTCAGCTTGTAATCAATACAAAAATATTACTTCTTTGTACTAAGTTCTTGAAATCTGTGGCATGTGTTACAAGTAGAGCACCTCTCTATTTGCACTAGCCATGTTTCAAGAGTTTGTCACTAGTAGCTATTATACTGTACAGGGCAGGTCTAGATTGCAAAATGTAAATTGTGGACTTCTGTTGATGCAGGTGATGAATTTGATCACATGTATTTTATGTATTATTGATCCCAGTGTTACTATTTTTATTTTTGACTATATTTGTTTAAGTTTTTGCTTCCTCATGGGTGTTTTTTTTTGGGGGGGGGGTGATAGTTGGAATTTTATCAACTGTTTGTTGCCTTCTTCATAAGAGGTGACATACTCTAATTGAAACAGTCCCAATTAAGTAAAAGCTGTGACTTTCCTAAAAGACACCCGAAGATGCTGTTTGCTTGGGGACATGAAGACATCAAAAACTTAATTAAGATTTAGGTCTGAAACAAAAATATACAGTTCAGCACAAACTCCTAATTCAAATCCCGCAGAATACAGTCCTAGGTCCCTTCTGTGCCTTTCATCTGCCGAACTCTGCCCTCTGTTCCAGCTTCCTTGCTTTCCAGGCCCCTGAACACACTCCATGATCTAGTCATACTGAATTATTTACCCTTCCCCTAACGTGATCATGCACACACCAAAAGGCAGGTATTTTTACCACTCCGTCACAGGTAAAGAACGTGAAGTTCAATGCGGGTAAATGACTTGCCCAAGCTCACGCACATACGAAGTGGTGAAGCTGGGAAACGGATCTTTTGACACTTGCAGTGATCCTGCCCGTCTCTATAGGAGGCAAGTAGTCCTGGCTCTGCAGCCCCTTTGGGAAGAGCATTCTTGGTTGCTCAAATGATATAATGCAAGTAGCCAGACCCAGCTTCCTGACTGTTCACTTTTAACTTGCTGCTCTGCATGAGACAAACACAAGCATTTGACTTGTATTTTACAGTGGAACCAAGCATGTCAAACTCACAGCCCACCAGCCGCATGCCTCGTTTATTTGGCCCGTGTTAGCCTTTGAATTTGACATGCATGCTGTACACATTTATAAAATACAAAGAGGCAAGGAATTAATGGTTTTGTTTCCGTTTCAAACCATACTAAGTATTTAACTTCTGTTATGTCAAAGGCAGATCAGTCTAAGAGCTTGACAAGGTAATTTGAGGGAACGTTACAAATGATGCCTTTGAAATTACTGTTGTGGCTTTGGGTTTTTCCCCTGTTGTTTCTAACAACCTACTATTTTACAGGGGTGAATAAAAAGTTGTTTTCGCTTAGGAAATTGCTGGTATTACAGGAATGAGTTTGTGGGTTAGCAACTATTTTAAAGGTGAAGACACTTTTTTTGGAAATGAGACTTAATACCTGGCAACTGCTATAGTGGTCCTAGAAGCCTGGAAAAGATGTCAACCAATGCCAAGCAAAGCAGAACTACCTGAGGTGCCTTGTCAGTGGTGAAGGAAGGAATGGAAAAACCTTAGGGAGGTGGGTGAGCTAGAATGAATATTTTTTGTGCAGCCAGAAGACCCGCCAGGGGATTACATTCCATGAGAGGGTCCAGAGGATACATCATTCACCAAAGCTCAGTGGTGGCTCCTCTGCAGCCGGGCTGACCATAAGAGAGGCAGTCCCAGACTGGGCTCATTATGCCATTATAGTCTCCAAAGTTATAAAGGCCTGGGGGTAGCACTGGACCCCCAGAAGCCAGCAGGCCACAATTACTATGACTAGGATGGTCAGAGGGGCATCCAGTGGGGCTTGGCCCACGAGGAGCTATAGACCTGCTTCACGGAGAATGATACACCTATGATCAAAAAATAGGAGAGCCACCAAGCATGCTACTTGGCATCTATAGTCAAAAAAAGTAAGAAGACTGAGGGCAGTTATCCCCAATAAAACGTCACAATCCCCTGTGGATTTCTAAGACCTGAGCAGACTTTCAGATTTGGAATCATTGATTAAAGAAGAGTCCAGGTTCCTAGGAAGAAGGACCCCAGAAGGCCACAAAAGTATATACTCCAATGATTCTCCCACTCTGTCCCAAAGAGACGCAGGGCCATTTAGTTGGGTGATATATACTGAGGAAAGGTGAACACCCAAGTATTTTGAGTACTACTTGACAAAGCGTCTTAATTGATGTTATAACTGAGACCTTACATGTCATCATGGTTCCTCTTTAAGGTGGGGATGTAGGAGTGAAATTAATAAAGTCCTGACAGTCTGCAATAAAGTTCAGCCCACAGAGTCCCAGTCATCCTTTCTCCAGATCCCAAATGTATGATTAAAATGGATGTAATTAGCAGTTTTATATTTCTTATATTTTCTTTTCAATATTAACAAGTATTTTCATATGAAGTTTTATTTAATTCTCAATTTTTCTATATATATGCTTTTTAAAGAATTTTGGATTTTATTTTTATATCAGCACATCTATATGTTTTTACTTTTTTCCCCATTGTGAATTATGTATTGCATTACGGATATACTGTCTACTGTATTTTAAGTTGTTGACTTAATTTTTCAAAGAGAAATAACTGTGGCCCTGACCGGTTTGGTTCAGTGGATAGAGTGTTGGCCTGAGGACTGAAGGGTTCTGGGTTCGATTCTGGTCAAGGGCATGTACCTTGGTTGCGGGCACATCCCCAGTAGAGGGTGTGCAGGAGGCAGCTAATCGATGTCTCTCTCTCATCGATGTTTCTAACTCTCTATCCCTCTCCCTTCCTCTCTGTAAAAAAAAATAAATCAATCAATAAAATATATTTAAAAAAAACAAAGAGAAATAACTGTGATTATAAGTACTTTATGTAGTTAGTAATGTTTTAAGACCTGACATTTCAGTAAAGCAACATACACTTTATAGGTTTACTACAATGTCAGTCCCAATATTAATATTTAGGAACCATTAACAAAGAAATGAAAAAAAAGAAAAACCCTACCAATTTTTAAAATCTTCACTTAAAATATTAATGAAATACATGTAAAGACTTATTTTTTCCAAGTCACTCTTCTGTACATATTAGAATACTAGAGGCCCGGTGCATGAATTCAATTCTCAATTTTTCTATATATATGCTTTGTCCTGTGTCCTCTCGCAATCCTGGGCCCCTTGGAGGATGTCGGGTAGCTGGTTTTGGCCCAATCCCCGTAGGCCCAATCTAAACAGGAGGGAGCCCGATCCTGTGCATGGTGCATCTGTCCCCTGGTGGTCAGTGCTTAGGCTTTCATAGATAGATAGATAGATAGATAGATAGATAGATAGATAGATAGATAGATAGATAGATAGATTGATTCAAGTAAATTTTTAAAATTGCCTTTGTTAAGTAAATTACATGCTAAGTATGCTAGGACATGAGAATTTACATTTGCAGTAACTGCCTCCTCAGATATCTACTAACCTCTCCTTTTCCAAAATGTACTTCTATGTTGCCAAACTTGAGTTTTTATTTTACAGGACGGATCCTATTTCTCGAATAGGCAGGGAAGATGTCTTTATCTGTTCCAGATGCTCACTGCACCCCTGTATGGCCACTGGCCAAGTAAAGCACAATGTCACATAAGAACTTAGAGCAATAAACTGAACGAGAAACAACGTCATGGTCATTACTAGTGTAAATACTAAGAAAGAAGCCTTATTCACAGATGTGTATTATTTCCTGGATCCAGAATTTGTACTGGGAAGTATTTTGTTAAAGTTATTTTTCCTTGAAATAGGACAAGTCAATCTTGTTTGCTTCCCCTAAATGGTGGAATCTTTATTGAGAGGATTTATGAATTAAGTTACTTCATTAAGTATTTCTTTTATGACTGTACATACTGTCATTTTTTTCTGAATTTTCCCAAGACCCAAACTGGAATATTAATATGCTAATACAGCCTGACTGGGTGGCTCAGTTGGTTGGAGTGTCGTCCCGTACACCAAAATGTTGCAGGTTGTGGGTTTGATTCCGGTCATTTTAAAATCACAGGCTATTTGCTGAATGTCAAGATTTGGAACACCATAGAAATGTTATTTCATGTTAGTTATATTTTGTTCACTGTCATAAATTTTTACATTGATCAATATTTTATATTTTTCAAAACCAATGTTTTCCTATTCTCTTTCTGTTTCCACTGGTTGCATACAGATGATGCAAAACCATAGGGGTTGGTGAGTCCCATGATGGAAGAAGCCTGGGCTTCTTAAATCACAGCTTGGAGGTAGGTCACCCGGTCACCTTCTGTGCGGGGAGAATGTAAGAGAAATGAAGGTCTATATTGTGAAGACTGACATTTTTGATCTATTTGAAACTTTAACTAGAATGATTCTTAATAATATAGTTAGTTCAAACTTTCAACACTTATTTTTATATGATTTTGAAGTATTGGTTTTCATGTGGATTTGATACTTGGATTTTATGGCCATCGTAACTGAGAAAGATACTCCACAAAATTATATGTAAATCCAAAGGGAGGAAGTGCATCATTGTTTGCACTTCCTGGATTTTAATAATTACTCTTCAGTGCCATTTTTCTGCTGCAAAAGTTTTGTTGTTGAAATTTAGCTAGTAATTATGTCAATCGGTTGTTCTTGAAAACTAACAGGAAAGGTGTTCACTTTATATTTTAACAATAGAATTAATATTTATTGAAACTATTCATTTGGAGTCTTTTTAGTGGTTAGAAAACTCTGTTTCCAAATTTTTAAGTCTATATTCACAAATATTTTTATAGGTAGCACATACATACAGTCCCCAACTTACAATGGTTCAACTTAGGATTTTTTGACTTTACTAAAAAAAGTGCAAAAGTGATATGCATTTAGTAGAAACTCCACTTCACATTTTGAATATTGGTCTTTTCCTGGGCAAGCAATAGGCAGTACATTCTCTCTCGTGATTCTGGGACCAGCAGCGGGCGGCAGCTCCCAACCAGGCTTGTGATCATGAGGGTGAACAATGGTTACTCCACAGTGCATTGCGTTGCCAGCATTTTTTTGGATATTGTGTTCTGAGCACATTTAAGGCAGGCGAGGATAAGCTGTGATGTTCGGTAAGTTAGGTGTATTAAATGCATTTTTTACTTACAGTATTTTTAACTTATGATAGTTTATCCAGGTATAACCCCCATTGTCAGTCAAGGACTATCACTATATTGTTTCAGCAATTAATATAATGGGGATTTATTTCCAGGTAGCCATTTTCAAAATTGTCTTTCTATGACACAGATTTATTTTTAAAAGTAATAACATTTTATACATTTTTAAAAGTCACTTTAATCTTTAGAGAGCAATTAAATGCATTAATTTTTTAAAGTTTATATTGGGTAGCATAATAATTTCTAATAGTAACAATAACTTATAGAAAATGTCTACAAATTTTGAATTTCATTTTTTTCTTTTTTTGGTTAATCCTCATCCGAGGATATTTTTCCATTGATTTTTAGCGAGAGTGGAAGAGAGAGGGAAAGTCAGAGGATAACATCGATGTGAGAGAAACACACCGATCGGTTGCCTCCTGCACAAGCCCTGATCAGGGCCTGGGCCGGGGAGCAGCCTGCAACCAAGGTACGTGCCCCTGACAGGAATCGAACCCAGGACCCTTCGGTCACAGGCCGACGCTGTACCTACTGAGCCAAACTGGCTAGGGCAGAATTTCATTTTTTATAAAAGAAAAAAGTAGTTCTTTAAGTTGAATAACTTTTTAGTGCTTTGCCATTAAATAAGTAAATTGTGTGTTTAAAATATTTAGTGATCACTCCATGTTTCATTACAAAATGTTATAAATATTCTACCATGTTTTAAAGACCATATTTTGTAATTTAGCTATACATCTATAGATACAGATGTTGTCTTGTAGGACTTTGTATATTCCTGGTTTCAGCTTCTTTGCTACAATGAATAATTCAGTGAATATTATGAAAGGTTCTTGCTCTGTACCTTATCCTGATATTTTTTAATCTAATCAAAACAACTTTTCCATTAGTGGTTACACTTATACATCTTTTCCACAAAATACAATTTTTATTAATAATATATTCACTTTGTATATCTTCTCTGCTACCTCTTTCCTTTAGTGATCCACACAAAAAAAAGTGGTATTTCTTGCATTTCATAATTGCTTTGCTGGCTATTGAATAAAACTGCTATAACAGCCCTGACCGGTTTGGCTCAGTGGATAGAGCGTCGGCCTGCAGACTTAAGGGTTCTGGGTTCGATTCCGGTCAAGGGCATGTGCCTTGGTTGCGGGCACATACCCAGTGGGGAGTGTGCAGGAGGCAGCTGATCGATGTTTCTCATCGATATTTCTGACTCTCTATCCTTCTATTAGTTAGATGCTACATGTATCCATTCAAATGTAATAATTAATATGCAATACTGAGCAGTACCTTGTTTAGCTTCATTTCTCTCTTCAAACATAGGCCAGGTTACAGAAAAGGAACTTGAATTATAGCACTATGCCCTCAACATGAAACTATAAAATGACAAAAACAATTGGGGGGGAAAAGGCATTATAAACAAGAATCCTTTCATAATAGAATTCAAAGCATATTTGGTTATTGACATTTTTCTAAAGTAGGGTGGCATCTGAGCAGTTTTGCTTCCTGTCAACACTGTTGCATGTAACATCACCAAGCCCAGCCTTTGGAAAATGATGTCGAGCAGCTAGACTGAAATTTCAAGGCGTCTGCCAAGACTCTCTGGCATTTGGGATTTGGCAGAACGTTGCAAAATAAATTTTCTTAGACAATTCTGGTCTTTGCCGCATACCCAAATGTCTGAGAAGTGATTCCAAACGTTCCTCTGATCACATTTTCCTTCACATCTCTTGCTTTTGTTACTTTTTATCTGCCTGGGTTGAGATAGCAAGTCACACCCACTTGGGATGAAATCTGAGGCCATGCTTCTTTACCCTGTTTCACGCAACGCTTCCAAATTCCCTTCAAAAAGCTACTGTGATTAAAATTAATACTTTTAAAGGTAAACATACCAAATTCGGGTCATTATTTTAAAGACTTTTTTAATAGCAGTTTTAATATCATAGGAAAATGGAGAGTAAGGTACAGAGATGTCCCATATACTCCCTCCCTTCACACATAAACAGTCTCTCCCAGTATCGACATCCCCCACCAGATGGTTACATGTGTTACAACTGATGAACTTACATTGACATATCATCACCCAAAGTCCATAGTTTACATTAGGGTTAACTCTTGGTGTTTTATAGGGTTAACTATAGGGTTAACCATAGGGTTCACTAGGGTTAACTCTTGGATATAGACAAATGTATAATGACATCTAAGCAGCAATGTAGTATAACAGAGTAATTTCATTGCCCTGAAAATCCTCTGTGTTCTGTTGATTCATCCCTTCCTCTTTCTTAATGCCTGGCAATCACTGATCTTTTCTCTGTCTTCATAGACTTGAAACCGACTTTTGTGAAATGTCATATAGTTGGAATCATATAGTATATAGCCTTTCAGATTAATTGTATGAATTGCCAATTAATAATAAGGCTTCACTTAGTAATATACATTGAAGTTTCCTCTTTGTCTTTTTATGGTTTGATAATTCATTTCTTTTTAGTGCTGAATAATATTCCACTGTACCAGTTTGTTTATTAATTCACCTACTGAAGAACATCTTGGTTGCTTCCAAGTTTTGGCAATTACAAATAAAGCTTCCATAAATATCCACGTGTAGGTTTTTGTATGGATGTCAGTTTTCAACTCCTTTGGTTGACCGTCAGGGCCACGATGGCTGGATTGCGTGGTAAGCGTGTTTCGTTCTGTAAGAAACTGCCAACTGCCTTCCAAAGTGGCTGCGCCATTTAGCATTCCCACCAGCAATGGGAGCTCACATCTCCTCCAGCATCTGGTCTTGTTAGTGTTTGTTCATTCTAATAGGTGGGTAGTGGTATCTTATTGTTGTTTTCATTTGCGTTTGCCTGATTACATAAGACTCGGAGCATCGTTTCATGTATCTATCAGCGATCTGTATGTCTTCTCTAGTGAGGTGTCTATTAAAGTCGTTGGCCCATTTTCTAAGTGAGTGAACCTCACAAGTGTTTCTTAGTTGTCCTCTCATCCCTTTAGGTGGGACAGGATGGCAGCACTGACTACTAGGAACTTCCCTTTCTGTCAGGTCAGAGAGGTTCCAATAAAACCCAACAGGTAGGCTCTGGTTAGAGTTTCTCCCGAGGGTCGGCCTTGCTAAGAAGAACAGAGTGCTCTGGCATATTGCAAAAATGGCTCCTTACCCTCTTCCTAGTGCAGTGAAGGGAACCCCCTACCACAACCCTGACAATATCTACTGTGAGAACCTGGTAGAACTCCTAGAGGTAAAACTCACAGAAGTGTGGGGCTCCTAATGACCGGGTCCCCTTGAAGTTTTTAACTATCAAACTTGTCTACTCTGGGCCTCCAGCAACTCATCCGTTACAGTTTAACACTTCCTACCCTGGCCTGGGTCCCCGTGAAGATTTCAGTTCCCGACTTTATGCTCTAGGAAGTTGCAATTCTCTGATTTTGCTTGTTGGTCTCTAATTTGGGGGGCAGCTCTTTGTCCTATGACCTTACTTCTCTTACAGATCTAAGACATATTATTTATTGTGCAGTTTGTTCAGTAACTTTTTACTTGTTGTTATGAGAAAATGGTGACTTCCAAGCTCCTTGCACGTGGAAGCAGAAACTGGAATTCCTGGGTCATTTGTCAGATTTGTAATATTCTATGCAGCAGACTTTCCTCTGGTTCCAACACAGTCACACTGTTCGAGTAGGCAGAGAGAAAGATATGAGTTGGGAGAGGCTGGAGAGGCAGCTGGGGCTTGGAGGAAGTAAGTGTTAGACGTGACAAACTGAAAATAGACAATGGAGGCATCAGGCTCTATGCAGGCAAGAAAGATTCAGAGCCTCCGGGATGTGATCTGATGGCATAATACCTAGATGAAGGAGCCTTATAAATTAAAGGCACTTTTTTTCTTTAGAAATAAGGAAGGGGGAGACTTACTGAGGAGCACTCCAGTCTAGGATATAAATGTCCCAAACCCCACCCAAGCGGGGCACTCGGTTTGGCCAGCTGAGTTGCCTGCTCAGATCCTATCTGAGTATATTTCTTTTCTACAAAGAAATCCTCACTTGTTTTTGCTGACATTTGTAGTCTATTGTATGAATTCATTCCTACAAGCGAGACAAGAACTGGGGTCACAGAGTACTGTCTCTAGACAGAGACCCCCTTGACCACCGCTGACAAGACCATTGTGGGACCCATCACTCGCAGAAGGATGTGTTGACCCCTCCCCCCGACTTTCTCTTTCCTCTTCTTTTATTAAAGCAAGATAACCATTTCCTCCTAATCTTTGAAATAATCATTATTCACATCTGTAAATATTGTTTATACTATATTTAGGCAATGCAGAGAGAAAATAATTTTGTGGAATAGGGTTTTCTCCTTCATATTGCATTACATGGTATTTGCTAGGCTCACAGCACTTTGTAACTCACAATAAAATCCAGTGTCTCTCTCACATTGATGTTTCTCTCTCTGTGTCTCCCCCTCCCTCCCTTCTACTCTTTCTAAAAATCAGTGGAAAAAATATCCTCAAGTGAGGATTAACAAAAACAAAAAAAGAAACAAAAAAGTTATACATTAAAAAAAAGACTAAAAGCTTGACTTAAAAGCTATTTTTAAATATAAGATGGTATTATATCATAAATATGTGCATCATTACAAATTTGAAAGAAGCCAGACAAAAGAAACACAAGTTATAAAAGTGAAAATATGTAAGAAGGCAGATTTTATGTAGCTTTCCTAAGAACTCTATGGGATTTACCATAAAGTCAAATGGCAGTAAGTGTCTATCACTGTCCCCATTTGATAGAAATCCGAGTAGGGAAAATAATTCTTTACATTAGGTGGTAAACAAGTCTTTGATTTACAAACTATGCATGATCAGAGAAAGAAAAGATCTCTTCTTTTGATAGAAAATAACATTCTTTGCCAAAATCCTGACAGTGAATGCCAAGAACTAGATGAGTCAAACATTTGCTGGCAAAAATAAATGCAAAAGTTTCAAAATTTATCACATTTATGAAAAATGCTTGTGATATGTCTTTACTGTTTGTGATCCCTAGGTGCGTGACTGTATTATTGAAGCCGAGAGTTACACAGTGACCCTGAAATATAAAGCGAGATCTAAAAGCAGGGAAGCATGCTCGTCTCAATAGTTCAGCCGGGATTCATAGTGGGACATGTTGCTTGCATGGGATAGCGCCCCACCCTGCTTGGTAACCAACATATACAGGCTTACTGGCAAGAAATCACCTTCTCAGGAGACAGAAACTGACCTCCATTCTCTGTGAATAAGCAGCTTAAAAAGTGTACTTGCATTACAATAGAAGGCTCATTTGCTGACTTTTACCCTTGTATCACTTTCCTCTTCCATGTTCTTGGACTTTTGCATTAGTATACTACTGCCTCAAAGTCCTCCCAACTATGGAATCAATCCTTTGTCGAAACACCTTCTCACAGTAATATGCAACATGCAAACCAGAACTAAAGCAGAGGAGCTCTGTGCTGAAGATACAGAAAACACCCCATGTCATAGCCACAAAAAGTCCCAGCTGGCGTTTACTTGGCTGTTATATGTGAAGTGATGGAAAGGCAATCCGCTGGGAAAATAAGATTCTATTTCCCCTGTATTCCTCACCTTTGGATGCATATTAGCATGCATGATGAGAGAGTGGGTGAGGATTCACTTCCACAACAAGCTTCTAGAATGCTAGAATCAAGACACTATGGGGGATACAAAGTATGTTTCTCACTCATGGTGTGCTCCAACACTGTTGGATTTTTTTTAAATTGTCATTTCATTATATATTGACTTTAATATTCTAATTAATTAGATGATTCAAATATCACATCTATGCATTTTAGAATTAAACATTTCAAAAAATAACTTGGAAAATTAACTCAATTTCTCAGTCTTCTATTTTTCCCCCTAAACATTATTTAATTCACTGTTGGATTTTGATTTTAGACAAATTGGATTTTTTTTCTAAATACTATTAAGCAGGTTCAAAAAGTATTTTTATTCATGTTTTATAATATTCCAGCAAACTGAAGCAAAGAGTATATTTTAAAGTCACACAAAGTGAATGTTTTGAAATAGTGGCATGGGTCAAGGTGATAAACCAGTTACATTTGGACTCACATCTTACCAATCTAAGCCACCTCTAAGTTGAAATAAAAACAAATACATGGAAATGACGTTTTCTTTTATATCTTGAAATTTAAAATGTGGGCAGACTCAAGTGAAAGATTCTGGACAGTATAACAAACAGGTTGAAAATTGCAGCTATTTTCTCTCTGATTCTCCCTTCCTAATTTGTTACTAAAAATGAACTCTATGTATGTCTGTTGTCTTTTCTTCATTGAACATGGATACTTTCTGATAAGGCCGTTGAGAATTGCCATGTTTGAAAATCTATCACCAACTAAGCGTATAATCCAAAACCCCTAAATTACTTGATCCCTGGAAATCTATGCACTCTTGGGACTACATTCCCTAACACTTGCTTTAAGAAACAGGAATATAGTATAATAAACTTAAATAATCTATATATATATAAAAGTCTAAGCGACTGACCGACTGTTCAACCATTTAACCATTCGACCATTTGACTGGTAGCTATGATGTGCACTGACCACCAGGGTATAGACGCTCAATGCACAGGCATGGAAACATGGAAGAGAATGATGAATCTCAGAGGGAAGGCGGGAGGGAGAGGGTGGGAAGCAATTAACCAAAGATCTTATATGCACACTCGAGGCCTGGTGCACAGATTCGTGCACTGGTGGGGTCCCTCAGCCTGGCCTGCGAGGATCAGTCCAAAACCGACAATCCAACATCCCCTGAGGGGTCTCGGATTGTGAGAGGATGCAGGCCAGGCCGAGTGACCCCACCGGTGCACAAATCCATTCACCGGGCCACTAGTACAACATAAAAACAGTAAACGTAGCATTTTTAATTTTGTCAAAATGAAGGACTTTTTAAAATTTTTCAATAATAATGCTTAGACACTTATAGATTACATTGTAGCAATGCAGTTCTATTAAAATGTGTTGTTTTTATTATTTTAGAGAGAGAATTATATTCCACTTTGAAAATTACTGCATGTGTTACTACTTAAGGACAATATGTAATTAATCTAAAATAATGAAAGACGTTAAAATAGTAATGCTTCATTAACTGTCCCTAAGCATATTTAAAATATCACAAAGTGGTATGGTCAGCTTAGCGGTAATTATTTTCAATTCCAAACACTGTACCTTTATAAAAACTCTTGGGATTCAACGTAACCTGCGACAGCCTGAGGAATGCTCTGCTCCACCTGTAATTAAAGAACAAGCACCTTGGGGACGCTGAAGGGAAGACGGACATTGTAGGCACCAATTGACTTAAAGTATGTCTTCCCTTCTCTGTTTTGGCACCTTGTGAATATTTTTGTGTGTATTTAACTTGTATTGATATCCTTATCTCCTTAAAAATATAACATCAACACAGTTCAAATAACCCTATTATATTCGTGGCTTTTAAGAATCTTTTCTAGGTAAAAACAAAACAAAAAACTATCTAAAGTGCAGTGACTCTGAGTTGCCCATGGGAACGGAGTTGGCTAAGGCAAGCCAGAACTGGAACTCATTTACCGTGAGGCTTGGTCGGGTACCCTGAGCTCTACTAGTATAAAAATAATTAGGAATTTAAACACTGCCACTGTCAGTGATATACAGTGTTTCCAGAAGCTTCCATGCTCTGTTTAAAGTTCCACTAAGCATATCATTGCTTGTCAGCTGTTGGAACATACGTAGCTAAGATGACACATGATTGCTTGTGCAGGAAGACAGGCAGTGCATCTTAAAGGAGAACCAGAAGCCCCATCAATTATTACAGCCTCTGAATACTCAGCAGTCAGCCTGCAGGAGCTTATGGGGCCACACAGAGTGGTTAAGAATTGAGTTTAAGTCTCAGGAGCTGAAAACAAGCATGCAAAGGGCACAGGAGGAAACCAACACTTGGGTCACTGCTTAATCTTACCATGAACAGGATATAGAGAAGGGGAGAAAGGTGAACTTTTCCTAGAGGTATTTTTCTTCAGAAGCAACAAATCTGAAACGAACAAACAACAAACACACAGTGGAATATCAATTATTAGTAATCCAGCAGTTCATAGAGGATGAAGAGAAAATGTGTGAAAATCCACTAACCTTAGGGTAAGAGCTATTGAATTACTACCAATAATCTATAGACAGGCTGATACTTCTACATTATTTTTTCGTTCTTAAGGCCAATAGAATGCTAATTTGTCTTAATTCCTTTTCTTTGTTGTATAAACTTAGAGGTCAATACAAAAGGACAAATGTGCATAAGTTCATCTGCAAAAGGCCAAGATTTTATATTCATGTTTTTTATTACTAGTGCACAGGGTTTTATACCTACCAGCCTAATTGAACTGTTCTGGATTTTTAAAAAATGGTAATAAGCACCATTGTCTTTATCCTAAAACCCTTCTCTCATTCTAGCAATTTCAATCTTCAATGGATCCATCTATAACCCCTTGACCTTCTCTAGCCAGCCATCTTCATTACCTTCCACTTAACCACAGTTTGGTGGACAAACTCGGGGTTTAGTCATTATCAGAGTTCTCAATCCTTTGAAATCTTCAACAGTAAAAGTTCATTCTCTCATTACAGGCCAGACACAGCCAACTGCTTATTTCTTCCCTCTCCATCTGCTCACTCACACCACTAATCTTCTTAACACTTTTTCTTTCAATAAACCATTAACCAGTTCTGCTGGTCTGACTTTACCCCCCAGCTAACTTGAATCATAATGGCAGTGACGTGAATATTTATTTTCCATCACCTCATTTTCCTTTCTCAGTTTTCATTCGGCCCCACCTATTTTGCCAATTTCTTATCAAAACTAAAACATAACTTATTTTACCTATACTTGGCTTTCCATTGTTGTGAATTACCTGTGTATACTCTTTAACCATTGACCTATTACGGGATTTTGTCTCTCTGATCTGGATGCTAATACTTATTTGCTATAGGAGTTGTGTAAGTTTAATCTTCGCATTAATATTTTATTTGTAGAAATTGCAGATATGTTCTCTCAGGGCTTATATTTTAGTTCAAATATGATATATTTTATTTCACAGAAATTTTAAATTTTCAGTTATAATTGACATATAACATTGTATTCATTTTAGGTGTACAACATAGTGATTTGATCTATGAATATATTGTGATATGATAGCCACAATAAGTTTAGTTAACACCCATCTCCTCATAGAGTTACAAGTATTTTTTCTTGTGTTAAGAACTTTTAAGATCTACTTCTAATCAACATTCAAATATACAGTGAAGTATTTTTAGCTAGTCTCCATATTGTACATAACATCCTCAGAACTCTTTTCTTATAACTGGAATTTGTTACCTCTTAAGGACCTTCACCCATTCCCCCGACCCTCACCCCTGTCTCTGTCAACCACCAATCTGTTCTATTTCTATGAATTCCATTTTAAGAATTACACATATAAGTGAGATCATACAGTATTTGTCTTTCTCTGTCTGACTTATTTTACTTAGCATAATGCCCTCAAGGTCCATCCATTTTGTCACATGGATATATAGCCAATTTTATAGTATTTAAGTGACAATAAATATATAGTTTAAATAATCACATCATTATAAAGGTAATTTTAAAAATTTAAAGTGGACACTGGGCAAAATACTGTAACTTATTTCACACAAAAAGTTGATGCCCGGCCAGTGTGGCAAGGTGGTTGAGCACTGACCCATACACCAACACGTCACTGGTTTGATTCCTGGTGAGGGCACATGCCCAGGTTTTGGGCTTGTTCCCCAGTGTGGGGCATGCAGGAGGCAGCCAATCAATGTTGATGTTTCTCTCTCATTGATATTTCTCTCTCGTCCGCTTGCTTCCGCTCTCTCCAATGTCAATAAAAACATATTTTTAAAAAACGTTATAACATAAACATATAGAGTATCTGAAAATAGAGTAAAAGTTGTTATTGTTAAATGGGCTGAAAAATGATTGTGTCGTTTAAAATCTGAAAATGGTTCCCTATGAAAAGATTCTCAGCCTCACTTATAATAAAAAATATAGATCAAAACCACATGGAGATATTTTCATTATAAAATTACTTTTCAAAAAATGTATTATGTTAACAAAAGAGTCCATCTCTTATCTTCCAAAAGATTAGGCCAACACGGAAGACAGAGCAATGTTTTATATGTCTTATATAATTCAATAGCATCTTAATAAGTATCAAGGTAATAATTAGGAGCTTATACTGTGGATGTTACTAAGGATAATTTGTCACTCTTCAAGTTGCCAATGCCCTCAGAACTAGAAAAAGGCAATAGATTGAGGAGTGCCAGTGGGAAAAAAAATCACTGTTATTTTTCCTGCCTTAAGGTGATTCTGTTGCTCCAGAACAGTACATTCAGTAATCTTCCTGTCTGGGTACAATTTGAAAAAAGTGGCAATCACTATTGGGGGGGAAAAAACCAGTGGCAAGCCTATTTTGAGGTTTTTATTCTTTTTTTGGCTTAATTTGGTACATTAAGAAAAAGCATTTTGAATCACAGGACAATATACTTAATTCATGGCATTACATCCACTCTTAGGTTAGTAAAGATCACAAAATAATTTTTAATCAATCCAGTCAAAACAAAGGTTTAAAACAAAACACGTTTTAAATCAGATAGATGCAACACCTGTGAGAGAATGGTGGCTGACTGGGGCACTTGGTCTGATTGAGGATGTTAGTAAATTGAGGAGGGGGAAGAGCTAAGGAAAAACAAGATGCCCTAAGCTATTTTGATTCACAGGTGACAGGAAAGATGTCTTGAAGATATTTATTTTTAAACATCTTGCAGCTCTTTTCAGAAGCTTTTCACATTGGATGATATAATGAAAGGGGTCAATTCCAAATATTATGACATTTTATGCAGTCATTATTTAAAATACTTTTAAAAATGCCAAAAGAGCATAATGCTAATGAGAAGAAGGCAATTTTGCATAGTCTTGTCAGAATTAGAATTAAAAAAATACTCCCTATTGGGAGCCGAAGCTAAATCCAGAATTTAGCTTAATAAAGGTATAATACTTGGAAGGATATAAATCCATAAGAGAAAAAACAATGTTCTAACTTTTTATGAATTGTAAAGTGAACAAAACCCATAAAAGGGGGAAAAAATTTTAGTGTCATTAAAAAAACTTCTTTTGGTACAAACATTAAATATGCATTGAGTTTAAACTATGAACATAATATTTAAAAACAAACAAACACCAACCCATAGATTTTTAGAGCTATAGTCAACAATTAGAGGTACTTAAACATATTTTCTTAGTAGAGGACTACAGTTACCCCCTCATAAAAATAACTTTAGAATTGAGTTAAATATTCCTCCCTTAGGTCATTTAGTTTTTCTGGTGTTTGTTGTTAGTTTCAATATCTTGTGTGACTAGCAATCTGACATACAGAGAAAGCAATAGCAGTCGACATGATAACCTTGGTAGGTTGAGTTCAGAACACCAGGTCCCTTTATACCAAATTTTCTACAACGGTAAACTTCACTGAAAGAATCTATCTTTGAATGCCAGAAACTTTTGAGTGCCAAAGAGCGGAGTCCTTGATGTCTCATTTTTGGTTGCATTAAGAAGAAGCTTGTTCATCCCTGGCTAATGGCTCAATTGGCTGGAGCTTCCTCCCACGTACGAAAAGGTAGTGGTTTGATTCCCTGTCTGGGTGTGTGTGGGAGGGTTCTGGTTTGGATCCCAGGTGGGAGACAGCTGATCAATGTTTCTCTCTCACATTGATATTTCTCTCCCGCCGCCTTCTTCTTCTCCTCCTTCTCCTTCTCCTTCTCCTTCTCCTTCTCCTTCTCCTTCTCCTTCTTCTTCTTCTTCTTCTTCTTCTTCTTCTTCTTCTTCTCTCTCTCTCTCTCTCTCTCTCTCTCTCTCTCTCTCTCTCTCTCTCTCCTCCTCCTCCTCCTCCTCCTCCTTCCTCCCTCCTTCCCTCCCTCTCTTTCTCTCTCTCAAATTATATAATCATGTCAATAGATGCAGAAAAATCATTTGACAAAATTCAGTATTGTTTCATGATACAGACTCTCAACAAATTAGTATAGAAAGAATGTAACTCAACATAATGAACTCTAGAAACCTGAGACTTAATGATTGATCCTACAAAAGACAATATAGTAATTTCTTAATGGTTTCATTAATTCTCAATTAACAAAAATATATATTAATTGATCAGTAGAACTTTAAATTAACAATACTGAATGTGTATACACTTAATTAAAATTTAAAAAGCACTTGATGTATTACAATTTTTCTTATGTTATAAAAAAAAGTTATTTCTAAAAACAAATGAACTCCTCAGATTTAAACATGAGAATTTCTGATTATTTTTGCTTTAAAATTGCCAGGTAACACAGGAAAAGAAAGTCAGAACAGACTCTATTAATTTAAAGTTGATATCAAAAGGCATGCTCAGTAGTTCCAAGAAAAACTGTGCAGAAGAACTGCATTTGTATAAAAAATGCAGATTCTAGGATGCAGGGACCAGTGATCTATATTTTACCAAGAACCCCTAGTAATTCTTTTGCAGTCTAGTTGATGAAAACCTTTTAAAGTAGAAAGGAAAAAATAGTATAAACGAACATAAGTATCACCAATGGCTGTCTGCTTTTCCACAAAATTGGCAAAGAGTACATTTGTAATTCAATTGCTTAAATTATAAACCCAAACACTGTTCCATAAACAGTATTTAATAGACTTCACAATGCAGGTAATTCTGGACACATTACTTAGTGATGTAAAATAAATTCTGGTCCTCAATGTTCAGAGCACAAAGGAATCTGTTTACCTGTAAAAAAAAAAATCAATGATCTTTGAAGAACTCTAATTGCTGGTCAATACAAGAAGAACACAACAAGATCAATATATCAGTGATTACAGACAAACGTAGGAGATATTGTGGGTTTCGTTCCAGAGCACTACAATAAAGTGAACATCTTATTAAAACAAG